AGGCCTTCATATTTATCTTTTATCTCCTTTTTTTTTTTGAGTTTTACTCTATTTTTTTCTTTATTTTCTAATTAAAGGATTAGTTGTATTCTACCTTTATTAAGTTTGATTAAATAATGTAACAGACGTATTAATTTATTGTGCCGAAATGATATCACTTTAGGATCACGATTACTGTTTGTGCTTAAAAATTCAAAAGCCACAAACTAAAAGGTTCACATTAATTACGACACCAAAAGCCGCATTAGTTATTCATCCGTAAGGTAAATATAAAGTAGAACTCTTTCGTCTAATTCTTAGTTTATTTTGACCCTTTTCCCTTTCTTTTTGGTTTCTAATGCCATATTATATTGAAAGAAGAGACTAGGGCCTTTTCCGCCCATTTTCCCAACTTAATGCGATGATGATTTTGATGTCGGTACTTGCTAAGTAACAACAACAACAACCCAGTGTATTCCAACTAGTAGGGTCTGAGGAGGGTAGTGTGTACGCAGACCTTACCCCTACCCCGAAGGAGTAGAGATGCTGTTTCCGAAAGACCCTCGGCTCAATAAGACAAAATGACAAAAGAACAAAAGAAAACAATATTAGTAACACCACAGAACAATATGAAAGAAATACATACATATATATATGAAAAATAAGAACAACATGAAATCAAGAGGCATGATACCAAGCAAAAGCAAAATAGTATCCTTACCAAACTAGTCCCCCAAAGTTATGACATAAGACAATACTCAGCTACCTCCTAACCTACAACCTTAATACTCGACCTCCACATATTCCTATCAAGTGTCATGTCCTCGGAAATCTGAAGCATCGCCATATCCTGCCTAATCACCCCCCCTAATACTTCTTAGGCCGCCCTCTACCTCTTCTCGAGCCCTCTACAACCAGCCGTTCACACCTCCTTACCGGAGCATCTGGGCTTCTCCTCTGAACGTGCCCGAACCACCTGAGCCTTGCTTCCCGCATCTTGTCATCAATGGGAGTCACGCACACCTTCTCTCGAATATCATCATTCCTAATCTTATCTATCCTACTATGCCCACACATCCACCTCAACATCCTCATTTCTGTTACCTTCATCCTCTGGATATGTGATTTCTTAACCGGCCAACACTCAGCCCCATACATCATGGTCGGCCTAACCACCGCTTTATAGAACTTACCTTTGAGTGTCAGTGGCACTCTTTTGTCACACAATACTCCAGATGCTAACCTCCACTTCATCCATCCTACCCCGATACGGTGCGTAACATCCTCGTCGATCTCCCATCCCCCCTGGATAACCGACCCAAGGTACTTGAAGCTGTCTCTACTCTGGATGACCTGCGATTCAAGCCTCACATCCATGCCCACTTCCCTCTGTTCAGCGCTAAATTTACACTCCAGGTATTCCGTCTTTGTCCTGCAAAGCTTGAAACCCTTAGATTCAAAAACTTGTCTCCAGACCTCCAGCTTCTCGTTAACACCAGTTCGCGTCTCATCAATTAGAACTATGTCATCAGCGAATAGCATGCACCATGTCACATCCCCTTGAATGTGATGTGTTAACGCATCCATCACCAGGGCGAATAGGAACGTACTGAGCACAGAACCTTGGTGTAACCCCATAACAACCGGAAAATCCTCAGTCGCCTGCCATAATATAGGGAACCGACACGCCTTTTGCCTTCAAGCTTCTCCAGAGAACTTCTCTAGGAACCTTGTCATACGCTTTTTCTAGGTCAATAAACACCATGTGCAGATCTTTCTTCTTATCTCTGTACTGTTCAACCAACCTCCTAACAAGGTGTATAGTTTCTGTAGTAGAACAACCCGGCATGAAACCAAATTGGTTGTCGGAGACGGATACCGTCATCCTCAACCTTGCTTCAACTACCCTTTCCCATACTTTCATAGTATGACTTAGTAATTTGATACCCCTATAATTGTTACAGCTCTGGATATCACCTTTGTTCTTATACAGTGGGACCACCGTACTCCACATCCACTCATCTGGCATCCTCTTTAACTTAAAAATAACATTCAACAACCTAGTCAACCACTCCATACCTGTTTTCCCCACACACTTCTAAAATTCCACCGGAATTTCGTCAGGCCCGGTCGCTTTGCCCCTACTCATCTTACTCATAGCTCCCACGACCTCCTCAACCTTGATGCGCCTGCAGTACCCAGAGTCAGCGTGACTCTCGGAATGCTCCAATTCACCGAACACAATATCCCGATCCCCTACTTCATTAAGAAGATCCTGAAAGTAAGTCTGCCATCTCCTCTTAATCTGGGATCGTCCATCAATACTCTCCCACCATCGTCCTTGATGCATCTCACTCGGTCTAAATCTCGACCTTTCCTCTCTCTCAGCTTGGCCAGCCTAAATAACTTATTCTCCCCTCATTTTTCCCCTAGTTCCTCGTACATACGACTATAAGCCGCAGTCTTAGCCTCCGTGACCGCCATCTTCACTTCCTTCCTAGCTACCTTATACCTCTCCATGCACGCTCGCCTCTCCCCCTCGCCAATGCTCCCCCCTAACGCCCGGTACGCCTCCTTTTTGGCTTCCACTTTACCTTGTACCACTTCATTCCACCACCATTCTCCTTTGTGCCTGCCGGTGACTCCCGTTGAGACCCCTAACACCTCTCTCGCAGCCTCTCTTATATAGTTTGCTGTCGTTGATCACATAGAGTTCGCGTCACCACTGCTCCTCCAAGCTCCCATAACCGACAACCGCCCTTCCCACTCTTGAGCTTTGTCCTTAGTTAAGGCTCCCCACCTGATTCTCGGTGTTCCTCGACCTGACATTTTCCTCCTCTTCACCATAATACCAACGTCCATCACCAAGAGCCTATGTCGCGTCACAAGTATCTCACCTGGAATCACCTTGCAATCCTTGCACAAGCCTCTGTCGCGCCTCCTGAGGAGGAGATAGTCAATTTGAATCTTCGCCACTGCATTTTGAAAAGTAACCAAACGCCCCTCCCTCTTCGGAAAACAAGAGTTAGCAACCACCAACCCAAAAGCCTTAGCGAAGTCCAGTAACGAGGTTCCTCCTTCATTCCTCTCCCCAAAACCAAAGTCTCCATGCACTTCGTCATACACACCTGCGTTCGACCCAATATGGCCATTGAAATCCCCTTCTATGAATAACTTCTCATTAGGTGGTACCTGATGAATAATCTCATCCAACCCCTCCCAAAAGCGTCGTTTAACCTCCTCATCGAGGCCCATATGAGGCGCATAGGCACTAACGACGTTTACGGTGCACTGAGCAACCACCAACTTAATACTCATCAATCTATCATTCACTCGTCTAACCTCAACAACATACTCTCTAAGTTCCCTATCCATCAATATACCCACTCCATTCCTACCCTTCTGGGTTCCAGAGTTCCAAAGTTTATACCCATCTGCGTCCCTCGCTCTCGACCCTGCCCACCTTGTCTCCTGGAGTAAATGAAAAACTGATTAATACTCTTTTTGAACTATTCACATACTATTATATTTCAATCTTTTTTATCCTTGAAAAGTTTCCTTCGCTGCTTTTTGTTGTCGTTTTACGTACTAATATGTTTTCCCTCATTTTTAATGAATTTTTCATATCGGTTTAGAATTTAATATTTGTTCTTTAATTCTAATGATACAAATTTAGATAGAGTTGAATAAAAAATGATGAATCCTCTACTAAATAAGAAGATATAAAGAAATTAAAACGGTGAATTCTAATTTTAGAGTGATAGAAAACACTATCAAGGTATCTTTTTTACAACTCTTTTCTTATTTAAGTTCCGCTTAAATTTAATGTTTAACAACTGTTGCAGGGTATGATGAATAACAAAAAACAAATGAGAATTCAAAGTTTTTCATTTTTTGGATTAACCTTGGCGAAGCGTGAGAAAAAAAAACAATAGAAAGGAAAAAAAAAAGTAAAAGAGAAACTATCAACGGCAAATATATCGAAAACAATTACTCAATTCGTGTCAAATTATCTCGTGGTAACTAACTGTCTCAAATTATATATTTCTCTATTTATCCTTAGTAGAATTATGTTATTAATGACGACAACGAGTAAATATTTAATGAAAATAGATTATAACTTAAACATAAGTAAGGGTAAAATTAGTCACATACCCTTTCTAATTAATAAAAGAGGACATAGAAAATTTAATAGCTTTTACTGAATAGGAGAATTAAGAGGGAAATTAATTAAGGAATAATATAAAAGGAGAGGAGGGGGATAGTAAAAGGAAACAATGGAAAATGGAAAACAAATAGCCAAAAAAATAAATAGGCCAGCCAAATAAACAAAGGAAGTCAATGGAGAGATACAACTTGAAATGTCACTTTTCTCATATTTTACTATTTTTAGTTTCAACACTTCTCATTTTATTTTCTCCTTTTATTTTATTTTTATTTATCTTAATTGAATGTAATATTTAGAAGAAAAAAGTTTTACAGTATCATCTAAAGGATCAACAATCAACAAACAGAGAGTTTGCCTTAGGCTTTCTATGTTGTTAAGTTCCACCTTTTTATTAGTATAAATATACAGGTCATGATTTGCTTTTACTTTTTCTTCAGTCTTTCTGAAAAATTTATCTTTTCCAAAATATTTTTGGATGTATAAATCTGTTTGGATTAGATTGTAAAAGAATAATTAAAGATATATTTACTATTTAAAGTAAAACATACCCTATTGTCATAAGAATAATTAAAGATATATTTACTATTTAAAGTAAAACATACCCTATTGTCATAAGAATAATTAAAGATATATTTACTATTTAAAGTAAAACATACTCTATTGTCATACATGAAATTTTTTATTTTTTCAAGCTCAATAAAAAATCATAAATATTACTCTTTTGTTTGAACTTATATGTTTTACCAGATTTATTTATTTAGTACTTTTTTCTTTGTATATCACATATCTTTTTAATTTATTTTTTTTTTTCAAAAAATGGTAAACATCATATAATATTTTAGAAATATATATATATACAATTTTTAGAGACATATATAGAAGAAGTAATTCATCTTTTCTATTTGCAAATTCTTTTCTATCTAAAGATTTTTGCAAGAAGGTCATTTCGTAAATTTACTATTATTTCTCAGCGTGAAGCACGGATAAATTTACTAGTTTCTTAACTAAATTCTTCAAGTTTGTCGCATAAGTATAAATTCTTTCATTGATGTTAATAACTCGTCAGTGTTCATGTATATTTTTATTTTTTTTTGAGAGAAAAGGAAAATACTTATATTAATATTAAGTAGGATCCCGAAAATTACATTCCATGTGTCTTTTAAAACATTTAAATTACGTATGCGTTTGGACATAAAAATTGTAATTTTTGACAAAAATAATATTTGGAGTTAAGTTGAAAAATGGTATTCGGAATTTGAAATTATATTTGGACATGCATCTCACATGAAAAGTTGTTACAGTTTTGTGAGTGAGGAGAAAAAAAACGGAACATTTTGAAAAAGTGGTCAAAACTAATTTTTGATTTTTAAAAAATTCATATTCAAAAAATTCCAAAAAAACTTGCAAAATTTCATGGACAAATACATTCTTTAAAAAAATATTTATGGACAAAATAGACCTACGTATACTAGCCAACCTACTACATACCCTTTGTCAATACCAATCAGCTGTCAAAACCGGTCAGCCCAGCCCAAGCCTCACGGGCTTTTAAATTTGGAGGGCTAGGCCGGCCCGGCCCGCCACATGAATAGGCCTTAAAATGGCCAGCCCAACCCGACCCTAAGAGGGCCACGGGCTAGGGCGTGCCGACCTTTCAATTTTTTTTAAGAAAAAAGAATTTCTTTAAATCCTTAAATATTTTTTTCGTGACATAGTCGATTAATCATGTAAATAACTTCTGTTTGCTTAGAGCGTAAAAAAAGACTTGATATTTAACGAGGAATCTCGTAATTGAAATGCAAATTCTCTATATCTCTAACTCTTCTTTTTTAAAGTTACATAGAATATCTTCTTAATGCTTTTCTTCATTTTCTTCGGATTCAGGGATTGCTTCAATAAGTTTAAATGCTGAGATTTTTTAATTTAGGATTAATATCATTTGTTGATTTCATCATTATAGACAATAAATTTTTTAAAATTCCTGAAATTTGCTAGTGGTCAATTGTTTTTTTTTGGTTATTCAAAAATGATCTTTTTCTATACTAAAGAGCAATTTAAATATTAATAGTATATTAAAGTAATCCAAACTGATCATTGGCCACTTAAAGTAATATTTTCTTTTGAAAATTAATTATTATTGTCCAACTAAAACTTTTCAAGTTCGTTATTAATTAAGCAAAAGAAAAACTAATTTATCATATTACATTCATATTAAAAATGTAAATTCTAGTTGATATGGAAGGGTAAATGAGCAATCTAGGGTTGAGGGTTGGGTTGTAAATTATAAGCCTCAATTTTAAATAGGCTCAAGAAATTCTAGCCCTACCCTACCCAACTAGCAGGCTGGGTTGGGCTGGCCTCACAGGCTAAGCCCATTTTGACGGCTCTAGTCTGCACTAGAAACCCAATAAAGCGAATGTAGCAAAATTCTCGAATCAATTTGCACGCAAAATTATTTTTAAGGGATTTTTACATTCCTATGTCATATAGTAAACTGTATTACCCTCAATGCTTAACTTTTAATATAATTACCTTTTATATACCTAATTACTATTTATGTACATTTTAGGGGGTTTAATGGTATTAATTAGTCTCCTAATTTAACTCTACCGTATATTCCCACTCCCCCCATTTTCTCTCTCCAAATCCCACCTCCTCACCCAGTATCAAACCATACCCCACGATTTCCTCTTCAATCACCCAATTTCTTCTTCTAAAACCAGTGAAAATCTGTAACCCCTCCACCATTGACAACTATTAAAAAGACATTGTTTGTTTGGATTGGATGTTGTTGCAAGGAATTGAGAATTCTCTCTACGTCTCTCTCTATCTCTCAATCCCAAATTTCAATAATATAAAGCAAAGGAAAAGAGAGCAGCAATTCCACCATTGACAGGCATTAAAAAGCTTTGAAGCTTTGAAACTTTGAATTCGAATTTGGTTTTTAAAAATCATTATTTATTAGGATTGGGTGTTGTTGCAAATAATTGGGAATATGATTTGGAGTTTATATCTCAATTTTGAGGGGTTTTGGTGAAGATTAGACTTGGATTTGGCTGAATTTCAGATTGAAACTCGAAGAAGAAGAAAAAGAAGAAGAAGACATGACATACATTATATTGCAGAAATTGTAGAAAAATTGTATTCAGTTGTTTATTTATTTTTCTTTAATTCATTTAACTATTGTATGAATGTTGAACAACATTGTATAAAAATTGTATTTAAGTGGTATTATATTGTAGTTGTATATAATTGAGTAGAAATAATGTACAAAAATTGTATTTAAGTTTGTATTTAAGTTTTATGTTATTGTAGTTGTATTTAACTGGGTAGAAATAATGTGTGAAGGTCGTAGATAAATTGTATAATATACAATTAGTTGTATGAAATTTATTTTTACTATGTATAAATCAGATACAAAATATACAAAAGACATATTGTATAAAAATTATATTTAAGTGGTGATATACTTGTAGTTGTATATAATTGAGTTGAAATAATGTATGAAAATTGTACATAAGTTGTAGATAAGTTGTATAATATATAATTAGTTGTATGAAATTTGTTTTTACTATGTATAAATCAGATACAAAATATACGAAAGACATATTGTATAAATTTTGTATAAAATTTGTATTTAAGTTGTATGTTATTGTAGTTGTATTTAAATGGGTAGAAATAATGTGTGAAAATTGTAGATAAGTTGTATAATATATAATTAGTTGCATGAAATTTGTTTTTACTATGTATAAATCAGATACAAAATATATAAAAGATATATTTTATAAAATTGTATAAAAATTGTATTTGTGTAATAAGGAATATGTATTCATTCTATCTATAGTATTCACTTATTTAACCATATTTGTACTACGTTTTATGCTAGCCGTCGAAATCTTCTTATTTGATTCAATTTGTGACTAACAATAATGTACGTGTACAAGTTTACAAAGGTAGATTTGCTTTTGATTCATTAACAAAAAAAATTATCCGCATTAAATTTTGGCTGAAATTTTTTCATGTTTAGAGATAAAAACAAGAAAAATGACAAGCAAAAATCTTCCAGATTGTTCTCGTTCCAGATTCCTTGTTTCTTATGTCTTTTTGCCCATGAGTTCGAATTCACATGATTTTTGTTAATACTTGTGGT